TCCATAGGACGCGCTACAGCAGAAGTCATGAATTAGGTATGAGCAAGAAAGTAAGTGATGAAACATGTCTGAAATCAGGAGAACGCGACCGCAGATGTCTCACTTCGAGCCTAGAAAAAAATCCTGCACAAGGAAATCGATGTGGTGGGTTAGTTAAATAGTTTCACTGACTGCTATCATTTCAAAAACAACGGGGATCACACTTCAGCGTGTCCATTATAACAGGCGGCAGCGAAATGCGGTTCATGACTTCAAAACGGCAACATTTGCTGCTTGAGGCGTTACACGCGAGACAACCATGAGAAACCTCGTTCATAAGCATGCCGGATGAAATGAATAAACCAGCTCGAAAGGAGGTGAGACTTTCTAATACCAAAGAATTTTCTTTTGAAGTGTCCACATACCTCTGGTGAAAAGAAAATTTTTCCCAATATTAGAAGAAGGTAAAGACCCCTGCAAGGTGCCGCGAAGTAAGGTTTGTAGAGGCTTTCTTATCCGAGGAATCGAAGCGAAGGTCCCATCTAGCAAAAATCAAAGGTGTTCTTATAGTCAAATTTTGAGGAGTACACATACTTTGTTGCATACTGTGTCTAGATATGCCACTGCAAAATACCAATGCAATGTAGCAGAATCCATTTCGTTTTTTGAGGGTCGGTCGCTGCATAAGGCAATGAGTTGTGCCTTCTCAGGAACCATCTGTTGCTACCTAATCGACTCTATATGGATAGAAATCTACTTTGACACGGACTGAAATCTGGTCGAGTATTATCCGACCCTCATCTGCGTCCGCCACGGCATAGTAGGCCTGCTTCATAATTCTGTAGTTTAGGTTCTTGGCTTCCGCTTCTGGGTTTTTTATGATAAAATGGGATTCAGAGACGTTTCACCTTGTCGTGATCTAGGTTCAGTTCCTCAGCGATATGTTTCACAAGCGTTTCTGCACAGAACATTCCTTGTGGACCACCGAAACCTCTAAATAAGCAATATAAGAACAGTAGAGCACACCTGAGTAGGAGCGAGTTGCTGCAGAAGCGAAGTGTATCTTTCGCAAACGGAGTAAGCATGGTGAGTTTCCGCCCCAATAGGGTCATATTCGCGGCACAACGCAAGCAGCGGCGAAAGGCACTCCACTCCGACAACGTTCGTGATGCTGATCTTCGGTTCACATAAGTGTGTGACTCAGACCACTTGAGTGTGTCCACCCCCACCGGCAAGCCTATGTTACGCCCACGAAGAGATAACGGTGGGCCAAAAAAAAGTCATTCCGGGAGCGAGTCACAATATGAGCGAGAGGTGTTGGTACCCAGACGAGAGAAAGTGGATATGAGTACGCAAGGGGCGGAAGTACACAACGAATCATTCCTCTATGAGCGAGGAGCTGGCTGGCTGCATTCACCTTCATGTACCCAAAATATGAGTCTCTCAGCAGCGGCCAGGGGGGCTGGGAAGAAAGTGGAGAACGCCTTTGGAATTCACGTGGCCTCCAAACAGCTGCGGAACTTCTTGAATGGAATCACCCATGGATAGCTACCTGGAGACCAGTACTCTTGATCTGCAAGACCTCAAACATCGAGCAGCTCCGGCAACGTCGCTACGGTCCAGGACATCATCTTCACCCCATTCACCAAGGCGCGGGTTGATGGTGTGGACCGGCCGTACCTGGAATGGATGAACCGATATTTTCTTCGTGGGCCCCAGACTGAGGGTGTGCGCTGGTGGCTACATCGAGCAACTCGAGGAGAATATCCCATCTTCATGTCGTCGCCCGTACCTTCTTGGAAACTTTGTACTGCTACAAGGATTCACACATTAATCGAAGGGCGTTGGAAAAACTTTCGCCTACTTGGAATGGAAGAACGTTGAGTACCTGGAAAAGATGGAGTATTTAAGCGGGGGTCCTGAACTAAACCCCCTCAATTACTCGGTTCGGGCGGAGCTCAACAGGTGGTCTACAGTGGGCCGGAGAAGTCGAACGATCTCGCTCACTCCGGTACCACTCACTTTCGTGCGGGGCGAATCTCTCGATGGCGCTCCTCCAAAGGCTGTGGCGGAGTATCATTATAGTATTTAATGTGCTCTTTAATATGGTAGTAAAAATGTCCGATAAAAATTTAATAAAGTGTAACTTATAGCGCCTTGAAAGTCATGGAGGCAAAATGACTTTTTTTTGGCCCCCCTGTATATAAATTGCC